ACATTTAAGTCAACTTGTAAGCTTGTTGATAAATAAAGTCAGTTGAATGGACAAAGTGAAGTAGGAAAACAGATTAGAATCAAAGATTTGAAGATAATTCATTTTTAGAGAGAATTAAAAAAGAAAAGGAAGTCGAGTGCTTGGTTCTCTTACAGAAAATAAGGATTAATCTGTCAATTTTCATATGTCTTTCTTTTTTAAAACTAGGTTGTAAGTGTGGTCAAAATGATAATAGAAAGAGGAATTAAATGCTAAACAGTTGATATAATTGATCATTGAGTGGATGTATGAGCTGTGAACATCAAAACTGTCATAATTTCTCTCTTGTTTGTTTCTCTAACGCTAATCCCTTTTTTATATGTATATTACATATAAAATAAACCTACTGATAAGAATTTCACAGTTTTGATTTTTAGAAAATGAAATCTAAGAATATGGGGGACCCTGTTCTTAAATTCTTTTTTGTTATTCTTTAATTCCACCTAATAAGGTAGTATCAAGATACTACGGAATACCATAGATAGTTATCAGTTAACTAAATTAAGCTGGAGGTATTAATAACAATGTTGTTTCTAAGTACTGATTTCCTTACATTTAATGGGATTATAAACGTTAACTCAAGACTGCTCTAACTCAATGAGATTGTGAATTCTCAACTATCACAACAAAGAACTTTTTCAATTGAAATTCGCTTAGTGATAGAATCCTTATTGCCAAATGAAAACTTGGTAAATTTTAGGATTTATCCACACCACAGTTATCCTCATTCTTGATTCATTGTAGCTCACTAACCTACTTCGTTTGGTTTGTGGACCATTTTTCTGGGTTTGGATTACTCTAGGATAATGTATATAGATTAGCGGTAATAAACCAATGACAAGAAATTAACAAACTCACTTGGTGACCGAAACTAAGTATACTAGATGTATGCAATATCCCTTATATGTACAACTGATTATACATCAGTCCTGATGTCTAATGGGGTTGATTAATAGCAATGCCACAAGATTGAATTTAATTCATCCTAATTAACGCAATTTTTATTAAATACAAGCATTTTCATAGACATGAAGAAAATGACATATTCATGACAAATAACTTCTTTTTTAAGTAAGCTTATTTAAAGCTAAATCATAAGTTGCTGCACTCAAACGCATTTTCTATGTTACACTATTACCTGTAAGTAACGGGAAATTCTAGACCGAACTTTTATCCTATTTATCACTCATCATTAAGGCATGTCTGCAGTATTTGTGAAGCTGAGGCTTCTTATAGAATTCGATTTCACGTCAACCACTTAGGTTGTCTAAAAGATTACAACTGTGCTATTAATGTCTCTACTGATTACCTAGAAGAATAAAATATTTACTCTGATTGAAAATGAGCGATTCAAGTTTGGATCCAGTGAACAACATCAGTTTACTAAGGGTTTCAGAAACTCCTTACTCACGACATCTACATCTAGGGTTTCTTGTCGACTACCACATGCCACCTAAAATCTCGATATGTATCACGCGATATAAAAATGAACACAAATCGTTCATATTTGATCATTTTTGTTGAGAAGTTTTCTCGAGAATAATCTAACTTATAGGTGATTTTCGTCACAAACTTGTCGACTAAACGAACAAAATATTGGTTAATACTCAGTAACCAGTGAGTACAATGATTTTCTATGTTCTACAGGATAATCTAAAGCAAGATTATAACAAATACTCAATATTCTTTGATTTTCAATGATTGCTTAGCTGATAACATTCCATGATGAATATTATTTCTTATGTAATTACTAGTTTTAAGAAAATTGAAAATTATGAGATTTGCTTTGAAATTTTACGAGGTACTGGCCGAGAGTTCTGTTTACTTCTATTTGTATAGTATCTGTATTTTGCAGCCCAGTTAGCAAATAACCAAACAAATATCCCTAACATCGTTGCTTAGAATTACCTTGCAAAATCAGAATATTTCAGTCACGAAATAGATTTAATTTGAATCGATAACTGATCACTAAATAACCATCGAAAATGAATTTTATCGTAAATGATAACTTTGTTGTGTGTCAAAGGAAATTAATAAGAATTTGTCACAAATATAATGCTGTTAACACAACTAGTTTACCTACAGTCCCTCTGATTTGATAAATCCCATTTTAATAGCTCATATCAGATCTCTGACTATCTAAAATTTAAACATTATGGACAATAGCACAAAGTACTTAGATTGATATCCATTATACAACTTGGTTAATAGAATAAGACCAGAACTAAGAACTAGATAGGCTTAACAGTGGACAGTACTCAGTGATCAATAGGTGAAAATATCTCGCTCCCACGTGTGGTCAGTTGCAACCCAAATAACTCATTTATAACTTCTCTGACGATGATACATGATGAGGTGAAATCTATTTCCGATGGTAGCATCAGTTCCCTTTGTGTTTCAGATAAGTCTTAATCAAGTTCACTAACTCACCAACTACCTAACTTATTTGTTCTGCAACTATTATTTTGTTCATACTCCCACAGCTTCAAATAAACTTGCCATAAGCAAATTAGATTCATTAATGTAATTGGGAAATAGTCAAAAGTGTTCCATTCATTGTGAAATAGAACTCTGTGTATTGACAGATATATTTTGTAGCACCGTTTAGATCGATCGCTTTGCAGTCAAAAGACTTTTCAAGTCATTTACGTTAGTATCATATGTGATACTCACTATTATGAAGGTATATGACTTGTCAGTCAGTGAATTTGGATTTCCTAAACTTATAAATTATTTCTGAGTATTCTTTAAGATGAACCTGAGCATTAAAATATCTCACAGCTTGATTGAAGCAGTCATAATAACTGAAGGAATAACAGAAAGCTTTAATGGTAATCTTGTTAAGTTTCCGTTTTTAAGGATTTAAATTCTCTGTTGATACATAAACACCCATATGTCACGATTTCTCAGCATAAATTAAGTCGAATACATGCAGTAATTTAGTGGAGTTTTGAGAAAATTAGCTTCATTCCTAGGTGGTATTCGTAAAGAACTAGACTTAACTCGGATGCTATTAGAAAACATAAAGAACTAGATAACCGTTTCGTCCTAACATGTAAATCATCCGAACTGAGTGCCTACCACCTGAAACCAGAACTTTTAGACCTCACAAAAAGTGCTTAACTATTGAACCTGTTTCAATCGATATGTGGTATCATCATCATTCAACTTATTAGTCAGAATTCAGTCAATAACAAGAATGCTGAAGCGCATTAGATACAAGCTAAAAACGAATATTACACTCAGTCATTTTGGTTGAGAGGTTTTGTGGGGATAAGTCTAATTTATATGTAGATTTCATCATACAGTGATCCAAGTTGGGAATGTTAGCCAATGAATCTAAAGATTACACACTTGTCTAGAGATCTTAATATCTTGTTTTAGATTCCTAGCAAATTTTCATACTAAAACAAAACATAGTACCATAACCACTGTCAAGATTCAATTACTATAGACTCCTTGATTACTGTAATCAAAATACAAAGATAAATAAATTGCAGTTTGTAATCAATGTTGATTAACTCTGTTGTTCTACGATAATCCCAACTTTATAACACCATGATTATTTATGTATTTAGTTCAGAATAATCCTTACAAGTCCACAAATACTTTATCTTATCCAAATATATAAAAATTTCATCAGTAACTATAATATCTCCGTTAAGTATTATCAGAAAATTCTCAGTGAAAGCAGAGATTTCGGAGTAAAAGTGGAATCAAACTTTAGTTCTAACGAAAGATTTTTAAAACTATGCCTCTCAACTAAAGTTGCTGTTTTATATTAGTTAGTTTAGAATAACAAACTAATCGGACGCTTTTGTTGGACGCAAACATTAGTGTATTTTTTAGTATATTTGACATGCGGCTGGTAGCGGAATCCAAGATAAGCGTTCTGTTCTATTTGGGACTGTCTAGCTGGATGCGTTTGCATCTCGCTATTGGTATTCACACTGAAACTCGAACGCGGTATTTTCCAATTCTAACGTTAAATGTGTTATACACTGAGCTCGTTATTCCAGATAGCCACTGACTTGTCCGAAGGGAATGGAGTTCTTAGCCAGAATTGCGACTTGCCGTAACTTTGACGCACCTGCTGGATTCTGCTGCTGAGTACATATCAAATATATTTAAAATTGTGATATCATAATATGTCGGAGTAATTCAGATTGCCCATATGACAACATATATTGATCAGTTTCAGTCCTTGATATCAACAACAATAATTTATAAACCTTCACCAACAATGGTTTATCTTTAGTTTTAAAATCTTAAGACATCTCAATTTACCAAATTGACTAGTTGAAAACTGGCAAGGGATTGAGTCGGACAGTTTATGTAGAAGAAATTGAATTAAATTACTAGATAGATTAAAAAGTCTATAATAGTTTTGTGATTACGACGGGTATTCGTAACATGAAGCCACTATCTGTTAAAGAATAACACACATTGAAAAGTTATCAAATATTCAACAAGAATTCATACACTGTTTCTTTATACTACTTGATAACTTGAATGACTAAAAGCATTAATCATTCAACTTAAAATCTTCGTGCCTCAGCATGCAACTCTCTGAAATTAATGAATCAAAATATCCCAGGTATTTTATCTATACAAAATATATTAACAATGTAAAGCAAATATTTTTCGGGTCATAATTGGCTTCAAAACCTTCTCAAAATCTTCAGATAATAAACTTCAACAAGAAACGTTTACATTCCTTTATCATGTAGTTTCATACCCTGGATTTCATTCCTACGATAATCGGGTCACTTTTTCTGTTGTTTTCTTTCTCTTCTAAATAGTCTCAAATACAACTTCTCACACTCCTCAAGTATACAAGATGCTTTCAGATTAAGTTTTAATTGAGATCTTGAACCAATTGATTAGATTAGACGAAAACCTTGCAAAAACTGAACCTTACAAACATATTATGGGATTTATTTACACTATATAAGATGATTTCACATACCATCAGTCATTTTTTGTATTGATGCCGATTGATATTTCTCCAAAGTATCATTATTGGTACTATTGTTTACTTGTGAATTGCTCATATATTTACCAGTATAATTATTTATATTATTCAATGGTTGATTTTCATACTGATCATGAACTGTTTGATGTATCTGTTTTTCTAACTGATATTCAGTTTTATTATCATAATTTGAATCCAAATAATAAGAATTAAGACTAGAAGATGGATAATGCTCATTTAATTTCCTACGTTTTTCAAAATTATAGTTTGTAAAGTCTTTAACTGTATCGATATTTATCTGTTGAGATAAGTTTTTTTCATTCAGTGTATGTTCATTTGGATTATAACATTGTTGTTTAAATTGATCTAAATTTAATGCATTCCATAGAGCTGTATTCATTAAGTAAGTTTGAATGGACTCAGACGTAGTTAACTCTGATGAGGATTGACCAAGTTTTAATGTTTCTTTGAAAAATTCATCTGAATTAATGTATTTAGATGGAAATATGGTCACAGGTATGTCTTCATTAGCTTGATTATGTTTATTAACATTAAATACACTGCTATTGTTCATTTGATAATAATTGTCTAATTTGTTTAAATCGCTTAAACAGTGAAAATAGTTTGAATTTGTTAAAAACTTTAAATCATTCAATTCTTGCATGTTTTTTTTTACAACTAAATAATTTAAACTGAAAAACTATTCAGACTTAAAAATGTCTTAACAATTATTAACATAATATTGGATGTTATATGATTGGGTTAGATTTGCTAACCAATCAAATTTTGAAAAAAGGGTTGAAATTGCGGTGGTATTTTAAAGGCATGACTTCGAACGGACTAAAGTGAATAGTATGGTCCCTATATTGTATGCGAGCTGTTAGAACTGTTCTTTTAAAAATCATTTCATTACAATGGTTAAATATCGTAATGGTAAATAACGTTTTACTGTATAACTTCCCTTTGAATTTTCATATTTAAGCACAAGAATGGAAACAACGATTAGTTGAAGCCAATAATGGTCATTAAATATACACTAAGATGAATACAACACAGTAGGAGTGTCTTAGAAACGCAGAAATTCAAATAAACAATGACAAAATTGAAGTCTATAATAGCAAAAAGTTTATTGTGAGTTGTAATCACCAGTTGAAAAAAATATTCACAATTTTACAAAATAGAAGTTAACTTATGATGATGATGAACAATGCAAATTCAGCCTTCTCGAGACATAAACCTCCTTGAACTAATCATACTCTTTTGCAGTCTTATTTTCATCACAATAGTATCAACTAAAATTTGTGGAATATTTCTGGAATAGTTAATTTTATGTAAAATATCTTAAATCAATCATCTAATCATTATACATGAACAAAATATTTTCACCATTTTAACAAAAACTTTTTAAATCCAACTTTACCAAGGGAAATAATAGTGCTTAAAACACTTAGTCCTTTTTGATAAATTTCGATAATATAATGAGAAGACGAAGGTTATCAGATTTGCGCAATACATTTTGAACAATCTGATCACATATATACGTGTTCGCAATTCATTTAATGAATTGAAGTACTGAGAAGTTAATATACTTCTCCGCTTTGAAAAAAATTTGCTGTAATAATGATATTCATCTCACTTCTTTCCCAGTCATTCTAGATAAATATGTCACTCCATTGTATTGTCCGTTCATGGATAGGAGGTACTTTCTCTGGGTTTTAATTTGTCTGTCAGTACAACACAAATCTATGCGTTGACAATCAATGCCCAATTCGAAAATATCTATCATCATTTGAGTAGTCTAGCGCTTTCATGCTTAGAAAATCAAAGTTGGTTTAAAGCTAAACTAGTGGACATAGTACACTAGTTTCATTCTCTTGGACCAAAGCAGAGAAGTATATTAACTTTTCAGTACTTCAAGTCACTAAAACAATTGCGAACAAGTATATATATGTGATCAGATTGTCAGAAATGTATTGCGTAAATAAATCATATGATTCTGATAACCTTCGTCTTCTCATTGGATTATCGATATAATACTGTATCAAATTATGTGCTACCTATGTTCCTCATATAACACTGCTAATATAATGTGACCTGACGTAGTAATAAGGTACAAGGCATCATTTAAATGAGTAAAGATAAAATGAACATTTCGAAGATTAAAGATGAACGAACCATCTAAAGTGTCATATAAATTCTTGTCAATGTTTCAGGAGTATGGTAATAATAAGCGTTTTTTTCACATAGCAACATATAAGTAAATCTTAATGTGCAAATGTGTACAGTCTGACATTGACAAGAATTCATCCATTCACTTATCATATTTTCATTTCTCTTTACATTGGATTCAATGTAGCTATTTAAATTCACACAACCAACGATTGTTTTTTTGAAGAGATCAAGAGGAAAGGAATCAACAGAATTAACATGAAATCACTTAATTTGTTTGTTTGTCTTTAAAACTCTCTTTCAATTGAATAATTTTGAGTTCTTTTAACTAACTGACCTTTACCTATTCTTAATTATCATTAGTGTTCATTCATTAATTAGAAGATGCCACAAATATTTAAAGTTTGACAACACTTTAACCAGTAACACCTATAATTGAATCGTGCCCACCCAGTGAAATCAAAAGTCAGAAGCGAAGAGGTTCGAATTTATATTTGATAGGTTGTCCATATATTAAAGAGTGACTGGTCAAAACTGGCTAGCGGTTGTAGGAGAAGTTGAGCACGGCGTTCCCACTCGTGAGCTGGTGCGAATGCGTGGCCGAGCGTCTTCAGTTAGGTGATTCGATTAAAACGAATATGGTCAGCATCAAATGTCGAAGACTTACATGTATATGGATTTTGGGGATTTATTTACCGCACAAATTAATTATTTATTTACAATCTTTTGGCGTTTCACTATTATACTGTATAATGTTCTTTTACATATGATATAAATTTGTAATACTCCGTACTTGGTAACTTAAATTTGTATACATCTAACCGTCAATATACTGATGCGTGCTCACAATAACTTCCCACGTAAATCTATTTTTGTAATTATTTTCAATGTACTTCGTAATTTTGATTGGAAATTATTACAGGTTGTAAACAGTTAGCTATAACCTAATAAGCGAGTCTATGTTATATATATATATATATATATATATATATATATATATATATATATATATATATATATACTTATTTTTTAATATCTAAATCACTAATGCAACAGGATTATAGTAACAGTACTTTTGAACGCCTTGTAAATAACAAATATATGCGCAACGTTACAGAATTTAACATTTCATCATGTAATACGGCTTAGCAGCTAGTATACATGATTTACCTGTTACCCGAGTATCATGATATTGAAAAAGTGTATCCAGTTTCAAATAATTCTTGTTCAGATGTATAAGTATATTGCTGTAATAAAATTTGATTAAATAACATGATAAACAATAAAGAACATGAGCTAGTAATTCATCTTCCAATATTGTCTTATTAGAAGGTATGTTAGCAAACTATGTAAGTATAATGCAAATAAGAAATTATAGCCCCCCCAAACAAGTAGTCATTAAGGCATGCAGTTGTTTGATTTGTTGGCTAATTATAAAATCAATTTATTTCCATGTTAACATAAAATACGCATACCATTTTGTTGAAAGAGTTTTCGACGTAGTTCAGGTTTAAGTCTTGCAGGCATTATACTTATAGATAATCTGATACCAGTAGTTCCAGAAAGATATAAGTGAAATCAATTTGGTAATTATAAGCCGATAAGTTAACCGGAATAACTGTAAAAATTGACTGGGATTTTTTATATCTGAGTTGTGAAGTAGTCTCCTGAGATTATGAACAATCAAAGTAACTTAACGTTTATCAAAGCACACTAAAAAATCATCATGATTAACCAGTTTTTATAGATAAAAGTAGGATACTGGATTCAATGGCTAACTGGTTAAGGAGTTCTAGTTTTATCTATCTAGCCGTATATTTGAACTCAGCTCCACCTACCTTAATTTAGTCTACCGAGTAGTACTACTTGCCCTCACATTTAGTGTGCATTGAAGCCAAATACACGAATCTTCACCAAGTAATGAATTGAAAAATATATCAGTGGGAATAAATTGTTGAACGAAAGCACATATACTATATCTAACTGACAAGATAACTCTACAAAGTAAGAAACGCAACTTTCTTTACAACTAGGACTGACTTACCACTACTATCGTGATTAACACAACAATGTTTCTTTACAGAATTGTGATTAGTTACAGTCATGAATATGACTATTGTTTTCTTATAATGAACAAAAACTCGTCGGAGAGGTAAATGACTAAAGTTGATGGACAGAAATATACATATAGGCTTAAGGGTTGACTAGAATGGCTAATTATTGCAAATATGCAAATATTTCGTTTCACACTGTCAATACTGCTAATAATAAACAAAAAGTAGCAGATAAAAATTAAGTGTCAATCAGATCTAATTAGTTTAGGAAAATTGTAATAAGCTCTGTTGACATAAAAAATACCCGAATCACAGTAATTAATATACCAAGGCAGTAAGTACCATAAGTACATATTTCATAAAAGCAGGCTATTAAGTTGGTTTATTTTATGCGCATAGAATGTTGTCCCAGATAATCGAAAATGGTAACAATTATTGATTAGATACAAAAATGTCTGTTATTACAAGAACAAAACATTTTTAAATGTTCATTTATTATAGAGAGGTAAATTTTTACAATCAGAAGACAAACACAATGTTTCTTGGATAGACATTCCCCGACTTTTTTTCACTATAATTGTCCCTATGTTTCCTGTATAGCCTTTTATAAGATCGTTTTTTTATAAATAGGCATTTTTAACAGAGAAGTTGTGATAAATGTTATTTGTAAACAACTACTCTGTACAAAAAGATGGAGCAAAGATTTACTTTACGATTTTAGGTAAGTATAATAAATCAGTTGATACAATTGTAAGTATACTTCAAAAGATATTCGAAACGTATGGGCAGTCATTATTCGTACTAATGTATAACTTTGTGTAAATAAAATTAAAAGAAACTCACAATGATTTCGCCAAGTGTCTGGAAGAGACTATTAGTAGTCCAATTGTTAAGATGAATTATTTACACGAATCTATACACCCTACATATGGTCCAAGTAGATGAATTCTTTATTCCAACTAAACATTCAAATCAGCATCCATTACTCTTACTGTGTTTATTAAAGTAATAGTTAGATAGAGGTTATTCTTTACTATAAATCTGTTTACCATGTCCATTAAGTTATTATTTATTTCCTTTTTTCAGTTTGTGGATTTGAATCTCTGCCAAGTTGTTTAATAAGTAATGACGAATGACTGCATAACTTGTAAATAACATAGATTACTTAACCTAACAGCTTACTTCACTTGATATTAACTAGTTACATTTATTCGATCGAAAGCTGTATGTTTACTTTTTATACATTTTAATTCCTGCCAGTAAATAGAATTTGAAACAGTCATTAAACAACCACTTCCTTTGCATAATCAAGTCGTCAACTACGTTACTACTATTATTCATCAGGGATTATAGTCACGTTAGTAAAGTATTTGTATTCAATCCCTGCAATATATCTCAGTTGACATCCGATTTCCGTAACTCTAATATTGGATCTAAAGTT